TTTTCCTTATCTAGTGATGTAAAGTGTAATAGTCTTGCAGTGCTAGGCCATGGCAGGGAACTGCAGGTCCCAGCCATCCATGTAATCACAAGGGTAGCAACCCATACTCCACAGAGCATTGTATTGCTCAACTAGGTAGGGTAGGCGTATTAAATGCATTTTTTTTTTTTTGCTTAGTCTTTGAATTTATGGTGAGTATGTCAGGATGTAGTTCCATCATGAGGTGAAGAGCATCTGTGTTAAATTTTCTAAAAGACACTCCCATGTTACAAGATAATACCGTCCACAGTTCCCTCTGACACAATATTATCTCTGATCAAAGTTTCCCTCTGCTCCAGGGAACCCCTTGTTCATAATCCCACTCATCTTTTCCCCATAGCTAGCTTTCCCATGGCTTAACACTCTCCTCTATATCACAAGAAATTCCTAATCATGATAAGAAAAGAACAAAATAAGTTTCAAAGGAAAAGACCCCTAAAGACAAAAAAAAAAAAAATGTTGTCCCATTGAAATTCTCTAGGCACCTGTTCAAGTAGCTAAACTAGATCTACTTGAAAATACATTAATGAACATTTGTAATGTCAGAATACCAAAAATACTGAAGAGATGGGCCAGTATGTTTGTGGGTAAAAACAACAAAGGATTCATCAATTAAATTTTGAGTTTACACTCTTTTTTTCATATACTGCTAGTGTGTTATTTTGGCTTTCTCACAGACAACTCAAACATAACAGAATTCTAAACTGAAATTGGCATTCACTTCCCTCAGTTTTCTCCTTTTCTAGAATTTTTCCATCTCAGTAGAGATGTCCAAGCCAACACTGAAGACTTGCTCTTCACTCCTCTCTCACTCTCTCTAATTCCTCATACCCAATAAATACAGATTTTCTCTTACATATCTTCATTCTCAATATCACAGGAATCCATTTGCTCCCCTTCTAACCAATACTTCTTTATTCTATCAAGCAGGAGTGACAATACAAAATGATCACACCACTTCTATTCCCATGCTCAAAATGCTCCAGTGACTTTCCACCAACTTTAAAGTCCAAAACGTCTGTGATATTTACCAGGTTCTGCTCAATAGAAAGACTGATTACTTATGCCACCTCATGATATGTCGCTCTTGTTTTTTACTCCAAAATCCAAACCTGTGTAGAACTTCTGGTTTCCTTAGAGCATCAAGCTGTATCTTGTCTTGGGATTATCAAATACACTGCACTCAACCTGAAATGTTCCTGAATTCCCACTTCAGAGTTTACACACGTCATTTTCTCAGTTATATCTTCCCTGAACCCTCCACCCAGGAAAGCCCTGCATTCTCCAACTGTGTTGGGCATACTACATGAAACCTTGCCCCATACCTTTTTTTCCCCATTTCCCCCAAATTTCCTGTTATGTTACTTTTCTCAGACTGCCATTACAAAGTACCACAAACTGATTTAAAACAGCAGGAATTTATTCTCTCATTTCTAGATGTTACAAGTCTGAAATCAAGGTGTTAGCAGGGCTATGATCTCTCTGAAGGTTCTAGGGAATAGCCTTTCCTTGACTATTCCTGGCTTCTAATTATTCTGGCAATCCTTGGCACTCTTTGCCTTAAAAGGTAGAACAACAATCTCTGCCTCTACTGGCACTCGATGTTCTCTTTTGTGTCTCTGTAGCCAAATTTCTATTTATAAGGAAACCAGTCATTGGATCTGTCCCAGCCTAACCCAATATGACTACATCTTAACTCAATTACATCTGAAAAGACCTCGTTTCTAAATGCACAGTCACATTGTCAGGCTTCAGAGGTTAGGGGAGCAGCATATTTGAGGAGGGCAAAGGACACTATTCAATCTGCAACACATTTTTAATGCTTATCTTCCCTGTTAGACTGTAAGCTTGTTAATCAGAATGATCACATAATTTATCATTAAAGTCATAACACTTTTAAGACTGAAAACAGGCACTATTAATAAAATAATTAGGATAAAGCAGAGTATCTTAAGTAATGAGAGCCATATGATAACTCCTTGTTCACTGATCAATTCTAAGTTCTTGGAACACCATAAATACTCAACAGATATCTATTAAATGGTTGAAATAAACAAGTGAATGAGAAGTGATTTTTTTCATTTATGAACTTCTCTCAGAGGATGGATAGTATAAACTGGATATTTGATGAATATGAATTTACAAGGCAAGAAGAGGATCTTTGGTTGCAAGCTAAGGGAAGGGAAAGAACAAAGATACAGAAACATAAAAATATTTGGTGTGCTCAATAATTTTGAAGTTAGACTAGGGTACAATGGATCTGAGTAATAATGGTAACAGATATATAAAATTATTAGAAATTTTAAAGCTTTTCAATAAAAATTATATTTTGTATATGAATTTGAATAAATTGTATCAGGCTGTTTCTATTAGGGTTCTTCTGAGAAACAGAACCAAATGGGATACCTAGAGAGAAAAGAAATTCATCCTGGAAACTCAGGTAAGAGTTGATGTGCAATATGAAACTTCCAGAGCAGGCCAGCAGGCCAGGAGCAGACAGCAGTGCAATCTTAAGAGAAACTTTAGTTCCCAAGAAACTTTTGTCTTCGCCCAAAGGCCTTCAACAAATTAGATGAGGTTCACACCCATGTTATAAAAAGGCAACCTACTTAAAGTCAATTGATTGTGAATGTTAATCACATCTATAGAAAAAACAAAATAGAACACCCATAGTAACACTTACACTAGTGACACACCATTGTTTGACCAAACATTGGGACACTGTAACCTAGCTAACTTGACCTAAAATTAACCACATACCATAGAAATTTAAATTTTCACATAACTAGTGGCTAATGTACCTGAACTAATTTCACTGAAATTAATTCATCTACCAGATGACAGAAACACAAAACTCCTAATAAAGAGACTCTTTTGTACAGCTTATTCACTATAATAATTAATCAAAAATTATCTCAACAGAAGTGAAATCTAAGGCTGGGGTTGTAGCTCAGTAGTTGAGTGCTTGCTTACCACGTGTGAGGCCCTAGGTTCAATCCCCAGCAATACATAAAAATAAATAAATAAAATAAAGGTATTGTATCCATCTACAAGAAGAAGAAGGAGGAGGAGGAGGAGGAGGAGGAGGAGCAGGAGCAGGAGAAGTTGTTAAATATACTTAAAAATACCTTGGTGTAGAGGAAAGAAAAAGCTGTGTAGACAAACAAATCTGTGTTCAAATACTGGATTTTGAAGCTATAAGGAAGTCACTTGTTTTTTCAACTCCTTCTGGACATATATATTGTTATCTATGTAAAATCAAATAGATCTGGATCTACATCTTGATTTAATTTTAGTTTGTTCTCATTCTAAGTGGTCATCCTAAAAATTTTTTAAGGCTATGAATAAATTCAAAAGCCAACAACCAAGGAAACATTTGCCTCTTGCCTTCCAATTCACCTTTGGATCAAAAGTCTAGAGGTTCTCTTCAGTTCTTTAATTCATCACAATGTGAGTTAATGCCAAAAGGATATACCATTGTTAACAGCTAACTTGAAAGAAGAGCATTGCAAATCTGATTATCCACCGGTAGGTCTTCCTTGTGATGTTTTCTTATCTTTCTGGTGATGAACACATTTTGATGGAAAGTCAAGTTCACTGACATTGAAGCAAATGTCAGACTTCTACAATGCTCACATTTTGTATTGTTCAATAATTGGCACAATTCTTACAAGAAAATGATGCAAAAATCTTCTGTAATAAGGAATTACTAGGAATCTAGGGATAAAAGTCTATGGTAAGGGGTATCAAAATGATTTGTTAGTCAACATTTTCTCATTTTTATGTCAAAAAACAAAAAAAGATACAATGCCCTGGAAATGCTAGATGTGTAAGTTGAGCTAATTTTATAATCATTAAAATTAACTTTCAGAAATAAAGTATTACACTTTAAAAATCTGAAGATGAAAACAAAAGAAACTGCTATGGTCAAATATTTTCTACCACTTCAGAGTTCACATTAGCATATAATAACAAAGTATTATATCGTAACTGGCAAGTTCATTATGAAATATTCATTAGATTTAGGATTTGTAATTAAGTTGCAATAATTACTATTTTACAATAAAATCTTAGGAAAATTTCTCAAATGAAAAGAAATTGACTCAAAGATCACATCTAAATGCTAAAAAAATTATAAAGCTTTATTCTTTCTGAAGCACATATAATTAGCCATGATGTCTCTGAGAAAAATGAAAAGGACAAATGTCAACTTTGGAAGATTATACACCTTGTTTCCGGAAATATTTCGGATTAGCCCAAAGCAAATGCTAAAATAATAATAATAATATTTTGCTTAGCAAAACAGAAAGAATAAAGGGGAGGGGGGGAATCCTTTATAAGGCCAGAGCCTGCACTCACTCTCTCTCAGCCTCCAGACTCCATAAACTGAGGTAAGGCTGACACCGTTAGACAAGGAGAAAGTAGTTCCCTTGTTATGGTATCTTTTTAAACTTTTGTAGGTTTAAAAGATGATTTTCTTTAGACTTTGATTATAGCTAGTTTCTAATCAGTTGAATTATTTTAAAATCTCAAATTTTGCTTTTTATTGACTATTAGAGTCCTAATGCATTTGAAAGGAAATAGCATACAGAGAAAAATACAGGAATTTCAGTAAAAATTATAATTAAAAAAAATAGCTTGTCCTCTGAAATCTCAGACCACTTTAAAACAATCTGTAAAAGATATAAATGCATTTTTTAGCTTTATACCTATAAAAGTGAAAATATTCTAAGTGGTAGAAAAATCAGGAAATTATATAGGAAATCACTGGGACTTTTTTTTTTTAATTAGTAGATTGTTTCCATCCCAGTTACCTTTTTATTACCAAGAAAAGGGAAATAAGTACTAAAATATGTCTCATATCTTGCTTGAGATTATGACCATTTCCTATGATGGAAATGTATTTATTAATTTGGCTGAAATTTAAAATTGTCCACTTTATTAAACTAATCACTTTATTTTTTAAAATTACGAAAGTAGGCCTCTGATAGGTTAGGTTAAATAACCAGGATTCAACAATTGCAACTCACCTTTTGAGACTATTGGTCAAGTGGTCTTTCCTTAGAGTCACAAAGGGGTGCCCTATGGAATAAAGCCACGGTTAGTAATTCTTCATCAATTATATTGTTTAGATGCTTTTAATGTTTTACCTTATGATTAAAAATTTTTTTAACCATTTTTCTTCTTTGGGAAAGGAAATAGTTGAATGAATGCTAGCAAAAAAATGATTCATTACTGAAGTATAACATGATTGTAGAATTATGTAGAAAGTATATTTTTATGATAGACTTCAAATAACTACAACTGGAGAGTTGTGAGGATTTTGTATTTTGTTCAGAGAATCTTGCAATAATGATCATAACAAAAGAAAATAAAAGAACTAGCAAGAACAATGAATTTTTAAGACTTATTTGTAGATAATAAAATGATAAAATTAACATAAGATTTTATCTAATGATTAATGATAAAATTAACATAAGAGTCTCATATTTCTAACTATGTGTATTTTAAGGTAAAAATTAATAGTTAAATTTTTCTGTATTTTATGTATATAAAGTCAAAACCCAGGACAGAAGAGTGTTAATAAATATTTTTGGCTTTCATTAAATGTTTAAATTATAAAATCAATAAAACACCATAAAATTTTTTACAACAGAAAATCCATACATAAATTATACACTGTACCACACCCATTTTTATTTTTTATTACATTTCATTTAATATATCTGGATAGTATAAATCCAATATGGTATTTAAACATTTCACTATTTAATATGGTATACAGTAAGCATTTTTTAAATTTCTACAAAGTCTATGTGATTTGTAGTTTTTTGTATTTTTATAATACCAAGTAACACTAGAATGATCTTTATTGGCTTTTGTTTGTTGGCTAATTTGTCAAGTAAAAATTCTAAGACTGAGATTTTTTTAAGTTAAAGTTATAAATATTTTCATCCTTCTTTGCATACCATCACATGGTTTTAAAACAACTAATAGAAACCGTGTGTACAGGATATCAGCTTTACCACATTCTCAATTATATTTTGGGTTTGTCTTCTTAAATAACCTTTTGTTAATTGAAAAATAGCTCAAGTGGTTAGTTAAGATGTGATTTTAACAATGCAAAAAGAACTGACTTTTATCCACATCGTTTTTGCACTTTATGTATTGTTCTGGGATTTACTATTCTTAAACTTTACTTAAATATGTTGGATTCTTGGTATTTTTCTTTTAAATTTGATATTGATTTGTCACAGATATGCTATAGTAGGCACAAACATCATAAAATTTTGGTTAAAACTTTATTTTCTTTTATTGGCTCATCACATGAAGCATCTCTTGCTGCTTGGTCTAGAGGACCCTAAGACGAGATGAAGACTTTGATATTTTTTGCTCTCATCTTTACCTTAACAGCTTCCTTCCGGGTAAATATAAAACACGCTACGTATATGTATTTTGTATTCAGTTTTTAATCATAAAATATATATTTAGCTCATTGTTTTATGCTAATGCAGCTTTATATTACACAAATGCTGTTTTGATTTTATTCTAAAATCTTAATTTAACTTTCTTAATGATCTTCTGTTGGCCTTGGCACATAATATTAATATGCTCCTTTTATTCTCATGTATTAGTTGTCTCTGGAATCCCAAGCATGTGTAAGTATTTACACACTGTAGTGTCCTAAATAGGACACTCAGGTTCAACCTCTACAGTAGTACTCTTTGATAAAATTGTCCTTGGCAAGCTCTCCAAAAAGAAAAATGTGTAAAGTAGAAAATTGATTTGTAAGAAACACTAGGAATAAATTTGCAATCATACAAATAATTTCACATGGATCAAATAAATTTTAAAAACAGACACAATATTAACTTCCAACCAAGATATGCACTTGGTTCTATAATATTGTTAATTTCTTTACTTAAGATCACTCCTAAGATATATTATGTAAAGGGTCAAGGAGACATGATCTAAGATTTATTTTTGAAGCAAACACAATGTAGGATAATTTCACAAGCCACCAGTGTCTTACAGGGACCACTAACTATGGGAATTGCCTCTTCTTCTGTTGCCCCAATGCTAAAAATGCAACAAAGAGTATTTACCATCCTATGAAAAATTTTTATTTAAGAGCTTCTCTGGACCAGCCATTTTCCTCTTCCATAAAATATAAGCTTTTCCTTACATAAAGTCCATAAAAGATGTTAATTCCTTGATGGTCTCCACATTTGGCACCTGAGTGACAAGAAAAAGAAGCCCAAATTTAGCTACTGAGAAACTTGAGACCAGTTGCTAACATGAATGTGGAAGAAGGAACTTTTTTTTAAAGAACTCCAGAAAAATAGATCTCCTTATTTCATGGCTATCTACTCTTTAAACTGTTGAAAATTTCCCCATATATGATGATGAAATTTTTAATTTGTATTCTGTTCTACTCATCCTAGCCTAACTACATTGCATCCTCACAAATAATTTACAATGAGTAGACTTCTCAAAATACCATACATGCCCTGAATCTAATTTTATATTTGTGTTCCCCATCTATTTTAGACTGCTGATGCCCTTAATCAGAGGAGAAGAAAAGTAAGTTTTATTGTATTTCTGGTTTACTCTTCATGTTTTCAGTTATAATCAAAAGCCAGTCATATCAGAGAGACAAAAGGAATAAATATATTCTATTATTCTCAACTTAAAAAAAAATATTAAGGAGAGCCAGAGAGTCAAAGTTTAGAAACTAAATGATTTACCAAAGTATGAGCTTTTCTATTTAGTAGATAGACAGGACACTGATTAGTGCCTAAAGTCATGAGAATACCAGATCTGAGGATTAGAAGTTTCTTCCTCCAATACCCTAAGGCCAATCTGAAAGATATGGCATCAGGGAGTTCTGTGACACAAAGGTAAACAAGAATTAACGTTTCGGGAAGAAGTGGAGTGTCACATTTAGAATCCCAAGGATTAGCCTATACCCGAGAAGATAAGAATGAGGGATCAGGGCCTAATTCAAAATCGAAGGCAATATCATGTTAAAAGTCTGTATGACTGAAGCCAATTAAATCAAAAAGTGTCCATGAAATTGATACAGTAAGATTTGCACAAGACACACATGTGAAATTTCCATGGTGAAGTAAATTTGGGAAATAGTGCATGTCCCTTGGATATGCTAATTATTTATTGACGTATTACACCAGTAATTAAGTCCTGATGTAAAAAAAAAAAATGTGTTTTACTTACTCAAAACCTATCCAGAGTTACTTGATCACTAAAATCATTTCAAAAGAGCATTTATTATGGAACACATTTTGGGAAAAGCTTTAATAATACTACTAGACTTTGAGAACAACAGAAATACAGTCTACTTCCCGTATATTTCACCAAAGATCATAATTGAAAACCTGTGTAAGATGGGCACATTATCTAATTACTTATGGAATAAAGTTAGAATAATCACGTAAATTTAAATGATTGTGTATGTGCACATTTAAAGTCTAATTTCAGTTTATGCATTCTACTTGTATAAAAATAATTTTTTTTTTTTTTGCATTCTGTCTCTGAAGTTCGATTTCAGTTCTGAAGAGAATTTTAAACCACTTACACAAAGAAGTCTTGGGAATCGAAGACATGTATTCCTTCAACAAAACCATAAAGCATCACCAAAATTTAGACCAAATTTTCTAACTTCTGGAATTCCCCCCCATTTCTTTGATTTTTTTGGTTTCCATAGACCCCACCGCCCTCCACGCCCAAATGGCCCTCACCATCCCCATCCTCCACACCACCCACCATGCCCAACTACAGCAGCTCCTGAAGATGTAAAAACTACTCCATTAGCTACTTCTGCAGCTGCAGCTGCTACCACTGCAGCTATACCTGACACTACACCTGTTACTGACACTACTCCGGCTGCTGTGGATGACACTACCCCAGCTGCTGCTGCTGACACTACCCCAGCTGCTGCTGCTGACACTACCCCTGCTGCTGCTGCTGACACTACCCCAGCTGCTGCTGCTGACACTACCCCGGCTGCTGCTGCTGACACTACCCCGGCTGCTGCTGCTGACACTACCCCTGACAATCTGCAACAAAAGCAATAGAAAATTCTACAACTGTCTGAGATCACAAATATATCTCAAGAAGACAAAAGCTAATCAAGGTAAAAAATATATATATATTTTTTCAAAATATTTGCTAACTACATGAGCAAGTTTGAGATGTTTTTAAATAACCAGGGTTTGGGATAGGGGACGGTTGGACACAAAGAGAAGGAAAAACGAATAGTTCATAATCTTCCAGGTGAATTAGAAGCTAGACTAAAGTTGGTCTCTCTGAATATTAGGTCATATCTACAAATCCAGGACTGGCCAATTCCTACAAAAAAAGAGACAGTCAAAGGTTCATCAAATGTGTATGTGTTTTGACCTGTTTCCAGTACAAAAGTATGTTTTATTTTCCTAAAAGGCTTACTTTTAATTAGAGCCTTAGCAAACTAGATTTGTCTCAAAGTTTATTACATCCCACAAAGTGTGCATTTTTCATAAACAATTATCAAGTCTAAAAAGGCTTTAAGAAAAGGAAAAATATTACAGTTATTCTTTAGAATAGAATGTTGAGCAAAATCACAACCTTTAAGAGTTCTCTTGCTATAAACATTGATTGACAAACCCACATCATGATGTCACAATCCATCAGAAAGAAAATGAAGAAATAGAACAATACCATAATCACTCTTGTTTCTGAATATAGGGTCTCTTAATTATGAATATGAATTAACAATGAATATGAAGAATTATCTTTACTATATAACATAAAAATTATGATGATATATGCTAATTGTTGACTAACAATATTTAAGATATTCTTCTTGCATTAAATACTTCTTTTACTGAATCTAATTTAATATGCATCCTAGTCCTGTGAAGCAGATGTCATTGACTTGATTTTAAAGATGAGGAAACAGGCTATGAGGATTTATGTGACTTTCTAAAAATTACAAAGTCATACATGAAAGAGAACAGTTTTCAAATGTACATCTACTTAACTCCAGTGATCAGTTTCAAATGTCCTATCCAGAATTTGGCTATTTTAAAGCAATTGGACAGGGAAGAGCTTCTGTACTTTTAATTGTGGCTTATGTTTTTATGTTTTGTCTTTACAGATCCCAAAAAATGAACATTGATAATCTGTGATCACCCTCTTTCACTGTTTAAACAAAAATATAGGAATGCAGATTCATTTCATTTCTCCTTTAGTCTAACTGCCATGTAAAAACTTTCAAACATAACTTGATTTATGCATTCGATCATGTGTGTATTGGTCTCTTCTTTATTCCTCTGTAGAATGACAGCACTATTATTGGCAACTTCATCCCATCAGGTGATCCTATAACACACAAAGTATGTGTCCAAAAATTATAAAGCTATTAAATTACTTTTCTTTTGATATGGAACAGAAAGGCTTTTATCCATAATCAAATAAATATATATGCAAATACATATATATTTATATAAGTATCTTTATATAAATTATATATACATATACATACATTTGTCCCTCAGTATTCATGAAGAATTGGTTCCAAAACCTCTCACAGATACCAAAATCCACAGACACTCAAGTTTTCTATATATAACAACATAGAATTTGTATAAAAACTGCACTTATCCTCCCACATATTTTAAATCATCTCTAGATTACTTATAATACCCAATACAATGTAAGTGTTATCTAAATCATTGTTGCATTGTTTAGGGAATAATGACAAGGAAAAGAAAGTCTACATATTAAGTACAGACAAAATTTTTTCTGAACATTTTTCATTCAAAAATATGGATCCATGGTTGTAGAACCTGTAGATATGGAGAGATTAATATATATAAAATTATTACCATGCCAAAGCTACAAAAAAGAAGTGCAAATGCAGTCCTACTCCCAAAGAGATCACAGTAATAGGATGTATTTTCAAAATTCATAGGAAGAAAAAACATTAAATTCCTCCAGAGCTGCAGATATTCTTTTATGAATATCTCGAATACTACTTTTTCACCTAAACAGCTATTTTCCACAGACTTTTTAAAAATTTTTTTTAGTTCTGGATGGACATAATATCTTTATTTTGTCTTTATCTGGTACTGAGGATCGAACCCAATGTTTCACAAGTGCAAGGCAAGCACTCTACCCACTGAGCTACAACCCCAGCCCTTCACAAAGGCTCTTTAACTGAAACTTTGTACTGTTCCATGAATCATTTCATCAGGATGTGTTAGATTCATATGTAGCTGGTAAATTAATTTATTCAAATGATGTAGTAAATTTCACCAGGTCTAGGACAAGGAACATTAGAAAACAAATATGTTACTCATTTACTATTCCTCAGAGGTTCAAATGGCAAAAATAAACAGAAATAAGGGAATCAATTCTACGAAAAGGAATCTCTAGTAAATATTATATTCAAGGCACAAATGCACATATAATCATGAGCAAACAAAGGAGGTAGATGTTTATTCCCCTAATAAAAAGAATATTAGGGACAATTATTGGAGACACAGATAATCACTATATTTTGGTATTAAAGAATTAAAAGTGACTCTCATAGCTAATAAGACAATCTAGTGATAAAGGAACAGGCAGTAAAAGTCAAGAATGTGCATAATTATTAACACCAAGATGAAAACTATTAGGATCATTAAAAATGATCCATTTAGTGTAAAATGTTACTGAGGAAACTATTTTTAAAAAGAAATAAATTGATTTCAATAGATAGAAAAGGGTAGGATGACTCATACTGAATGAAAACACATCAAGTACTTGGAGTAGAAAGAGCACATGGCACCTTTACTTGTACATGATCTGCTGTGGATGCAGTTCTTAGAATATCAAGACTCTCCTAGCCCAAGAAACAAAAGTCTTCCATGAATATAGAGCATACCTAGAAAAATGGAGCTAAAAAACAGAAAGAAACATTATAGTTATATATCAAGGGCAAGAATAAGAACTTTGGACTTAATTCTACAAAATAATTAATTAATTAATTAATTAATAAATAAAAGTTTCACTACAGAAGATTATTGTAGAAAATATACCTTACATGTGCCAATAAATAAAAATTTATTTCATACTAAGCTTGACCCTATAATTCCTATTATTACTGACAATCTAGAGATAAGAACACTGTTATATGCAAGCACAAATAGGAGGTGAGTGAAGAGTGGCAATTTACACCTGATTAGTGTATCCCACGTTATTTGCCTCTCTATAAAGTTTAATCTTCAAAAAACTTCTAAAATATCTGGAATTGAGAAACAAATTAAGAATCTAGCCAGGCATGGATACGCATGCCTTTAATCTCAGCAATTTAGGAAGGTTGCAGTGGAAGATCACAAGTTCAAAGTCAGCCTCAGCAACCCAGAGAGACTCTGTCTCTAAATAAAATATAAAAATGGCCTGGGGATGTGGCTTAGTGGTTAAGCACCCCTAGGTTCAATCCTGCCACTCTGCACCCCGCCTCCCCCACCACAAAAGAATTTATTGTGATGGTCAGTCAGCTTTGTGTTCCATTTATCCTTGAGTTTTTTTAAAGAAAAAATTTCATTCAACTAGAATTTCACAAACTTCACCTTAATGTAATTTCTGTTGTCTTTATCAGTAGCAATAGCTCAGAGTACAATTCTCTGTCCAACATAGTTCTTCTGTATAATGATGGGTACAAAGAAAAATAAGAGGAAGAAAGAGGAGAAGAAAGGCAGGGGGAGAAGAACAGAACCAAAGAGAGCAAAGTATGAAGAGGAGAAGGTCAGATAAAGGTGGAATCATGAAGAAAGATAGAAATCATAAAGAAGATAGAAAGAAAGTACTTAGAGGTGAAAGAATTAAGAAACCTTCCATAAAACCCTAGAGGAGAAAAAGGTTTATAAAAGAATGTTATTCTTTTTAAAAGAGGAAGAAGTAGAAAGAAATATGAGAAGCAAATGAATGAAATGTGTGGCAAAATATTTAGATATAAGAGTCTAAGTATTGATCAAATTATAAAAAGGGTGATAAATAAGTAACAACAAGAAGTTTCATATTAAAGAGACCAAAAGAGGAAGCCTGATGGCTTCTAAAAATAATGCAGTTAGGAGAAAAAAAATTATTAGAACTAAAAATTAATTTAGCTGAAAATGAAAAATTGAGCAATTACTTTTTAAAAAACATATTAATAAAACTATATTCCCAGAGAAAGCAGAAAGAATTAGAGTATCTTAAAAAAGATGCTTCTTATGAAAAATAAATAAATAGGACCCTCTCAAACAGAAGCTATTGACTCTTTCTCAACCCTCAAACAAAGGGAGTGAGATAATTATTGTCCTATTGGCTGCTGCGTCCCAACTGCAGCAGATGGTACAAGGGCTGCCAATTATTTATTTATACCTCTCTTATAAAAATAAAATTTTAAATGTAGCCTCAATGCCATAATCTTTGCCTTATGGCTTGGAGGGCCTCTCCATCTCTAAGCAAGAGTATAAATTTCTCACAATGTCATTGTGAATAGTTGTGATTCACTTTGACAATTGAAATGTGGCTTGCTTTGACCACGGAAGTAGTGGGAGGCAAAATGAAATTAGGAATATCAACACACTTGCCTTACTGTATTTGCCTTTAAGCTGTCAAAGGTGTACAACCTTAATAGAGACTGTTTCTTCAATTTGGGTCCTGGAATAAGAAGACAAATGGATCTTCAGAAATATGCTACTAACTGCTGCCAACACCTGACAGGAGAAGAACAAAAGTCTTTGTTAGTCACTAAGGATTTTGCTGTCATTACTGCATCAAAGTCAACTAATACAGAAGCTATTATTCTTCTACAAAACATCTCTGGTTTAAATAAAACCTCTCATTGAGTCACTCCTCTTTCTACATTGTATTGCTCTCAGTCTCTCAGTCTCCAAACTTACTCTTGGAAGAATTTTTTATCTACTATCTTTTTCTGTTTCAAGTGCTACATCATTCTGGGAAATGTCATTAAATGTTCATTAAAACTTTGATCTCTCCACTTTTATTGATTCATCTTGAATGAGCTTTACTTCCCCTTCAGTTACTCAAATAACATGAACCTTCTATCATCACACAGATATACCCCACATAAAAAGTCATATATCAAAACATAATATTATTCTCACATTTCAAGATGTATCACTTAGTTATTCTCACCATATGTTATTTAATGCAATTAAATATTTAATTATTTAGTTATTTAATTTAAATATTTAAATTATTTAATTATTTAAATATTTAGTTATTTAATGCAATTCCTTAACCATCCTTCTATGTCCCAAGATCACTTCAACTTTCTATCTATTGATGGTTCATCAATTCAAATGGTATTTTGCCAATATTTTCTGTTTTCTATTCATTTTTCTTCCCTTACAGTCTATTAACATGATAAAGTCTCAAAAGAACAAGAATCTCCTCTGAGTGTATACAAAATTTACCTTGTGCTGCCAAGCATAAAGGACACAACTTCAGAGACAGACATCAATAATATTTGAGGCCCCCACACTCCTCAGGCTCTCAAATTTGCCTCGCAATTCTACATTTTTCCTACTTTCCCCCTCCAATTTTGTTCATGCAAACATTCTCCATATAACAAACCTCTAAACTCAAAACCATCCACCGGAACTTGAAACATTCCTGATGATTCCTATTCATTTTTCACAGCAGAAATTCCAACTATTGCCAGTTATTTTTTCAATTTGCCTTAGAAATTGCATTTTTGCTATTAACCCATACCACTATGTCTCCCGTCCTAGTATCAGGGTTAAGTATGTACATTCCATCTTTGATTTCATTGCCTTGGTTCACTTCATCTTGAAATCTCTATTCAATTGTATCCCATATGTCTCATTCAAGTTCAACCCTCTTGTCTTAATTACCAGCTTCTTTCTGAACTCTGTACTCAACTTATTCCCATTAATCCAGTCCATCAAAAATACCTACTGACCTAAGTACGGATTCTTAAAGAATTAAAAAATCTAAAAGAATGGAAAAAAATACCTATTGATTACCTTCCTTAAAAATATCTTGATTCTATCTACTTTTTTGTAGCCCCCTTTCCACTATCTACATCCATCTAGATAACTTAAAAAACCTTTTAACAAATCTTCCTTCCCTGAGTTTCACTTGCTACAATCCATACTCCATACTGTTTCAAACCACTGTTTTGACCACTGCTCAGAGTGGTCAAAATTTTAAAATACCCTTTAAAGGAATAAATCTGATTGTTAAAATTAGGTACTATTCTTTCATCTAAACTAGCAGTCCTTAACTGGGGCAATTTTGTCTACCCAGGAGACATTTGGAAATGACTAGGCATTCCTGGTCATCACGATTTGAGGATACTATTGGCATCAAGTGGGTAGAGGCCAGATATCCACAACATAATCCTCCACAACGAAGAACTTCCTGACCAAAATATCAAAGTGCTAAGGTTTAGAAATTATTCTGATCTGGACTACACCTCATGTTGGATTCTTCAAAAATAGGTATTCAGACATTGGAGAAATCATGTTTTTATGAAATTTGAAGAAGTAGGAAACATTCACTACCATTGGCTAACACTGCATTCTCTACCATTCCAACCTCTTTGGACACACTTCCCCACATATTGGTGGACTTTGAATGGCTCTGCTTCATATTCCTAACCTTTGCTACAAGGTAACATAAATTGTATTCTTTTTTCTCAGAGTCAGCTCTCCAAATTATATGTTTCCTGTCTGTCACAGCTACCTCTTTTAATAATGGAGACCACAAGGAGTTATTCAGTTTAATGCTTATCATTTTACCAAGGAGGAAAGTAAAGTTCCAAGAGGTTAATGTACATTCCCTAGGCCACAGTATTAACAGAAGATAAAATCAATTCTGGAATTGAGGTCTTTTCTAGTTCCAGGAATAATATACAGCTCCCCTCACCCCCAAATAGAAAGCTGTAACTTAAGGCACTTGTACTAACTTTTAGGTATTATAAGTGTATAATTCATTACTTTAATAGGCTTTATTTTTAGAGTCTTTCATTATTTTTTAAGTAAATTCTTACTAGTATTTTTATTTCAGTAATAAATCTTATTAAACAAGCCTGACATGATCTTAGCACTAATTTTGCTCCTCTTTGAAGTTCTTTCTTCTCTTAAAAGATGTTATTGTCTTATCTCTAAGATGTTATTGTCTTCCTAATTATGTCTTAGAGTTACTGTATATACTAAGTGAAAAAAATAAATATGACATTAAATAATAAATTCATTACACCAATGTCTAAATTTTTAATATATTTGATGTAGTTTACAAAGAAAATTTTTATACAGATTTTTTTAAGAAAATGAAATTATAACAAGGGAAATGTGTTTTGGAAGTTATGATGAATCCAATAATACTCCCCAAAACACACCTTGAAAGAACTGAATTTGTTTGGGTATATGGTTGGAACTATCAGTCTAGCATTGTTTTTGATTACAGGGCAACTGTATACTTATTTACATTCATAGGCTGGGGACACTTAGGTTATAATCTGAGGACCACTTTCACATTTACTACAGAATAATACACTTCCTGATTAAAATGGGATACTTTCTTATGATTCTCAATGAAAAGGAAAGTTATATCTCTTAAGCACTTATCACAATTACATTTTATGAACATTGTGAATTCTTTATCTGATTTCATCGTTCTCTTAGCTTTGGCTTTTGAAAACACCTGGTAAAATGTATAGCTAACTTCCAAAAAGTTTTGAACTTTGTCAAATTGAGTCTGAAAGCATCCATACTGAAAACAAATATAGAAATATAAAGATGTAAATATGACTATTAAAATGTGTTTATATAACACAAATATACACACAACACACACACACACACACACACACACACACATATATATACATATAGTCAGAGCTATAGCTTTTCTTCAGTCGTTAACTTCTATTTTTAATCACATCTCATCATTCTAGACTTCTTTAACCCAATAGAATAAGTGTTCTCTCTGAGCCCAATGGAATCATTGACTAATCCCACACAAATTATTTCCACAGAAATTTTAAAGCATAATAAATATTTAAGGTGTCAAAAACCCAGAAACCAAATCACCTACCTCTGAATAATCTATAAGAATATTTATATTCTTTTCATAGGTCCAAAGAATACTATTAATTCTACATTTCAGCAGAAATAAGTGTCATATGATAGGGATGCAAACTTCAAATGTGTTAACTGTATTGCTGGGTTTAATTCTGAGAATTTAACTACATCAGAAAAATATTTTCTATCTGCCACGTAAGTCTATGTACTACAACATGTGACTCTGTCACCTTGAATTTCCTGTGACCAAAGATATTAAATCTTTTAAGTATTTTTTGAGAAAGCATTCAGTCAGGAATGTTTTGGATTTTTGCCTTGGGGGCGGGGGTTGTTTTGTTTTGTTTTGTTTTTGGTAAAAATGTTCTGCATTTGTTTTTATTTATTTATTATTAGTATTAGTACTATTGGTTATTGGTACTGGGGATTGAACCCAGTGGCACTCAACTACTGAGCCAAATCCCCAGCTCTTTTTTATATTTTATTTACAGATAGGGTCTGAGTTCCTTAGGGCCTCCCTAAATTGCTGAGGCTGGCTTTGAACTCCTGCTTCAGCCTTCCAAGCTGCTGGGATTACAGGCCTGTGCCACTATGCCCTTCTCTGCATTTAATTCTTAATTGGTGAAATGTTTCACTGTTATAGATACAGAAAATTATTTTTGTTGTTGCTTTTGTCCCACCAAGTATGGAACCCGGGGGGTGCTATAGCACTGAACTACACTCTCACCCCTTGTTAAATTTTATTTTGAGACAGGGTCTTGTTAAGTTTCTTCCAACTTGTGATCCTCCTGCCTCTTTTAAGTGTCAGCCAGGAATATTTAAAACCATGAGTTAATTAAAGATTAACTTGAATGACTGTTTCTGTTTCTTAACAGATGTGCGCTTCCTGCCATGTGGAATACAGTAAAGGTTAAATAAATATTAGCTATTATTATTGTACAACTTATATAAACTGAAATTTTAGAATCATCTAGCATAGAAAATGTTTTCTCAATGCCTATATTTATCAAAAAATATAAGGCTGTGACTTTCCAGTAGATTTCTAAGTAAAAATTTTTCTGTATAATTTCACCATAATGAAAAATTCATGTCATCATGTTTTTGTTTAAATTTCTCATGTTAATAATGGTAAAGACCACATAACTTTTAAAAACACAGTTGATCTCATCTCTTCATTGACAATTGGAACTTCCTTTAAAAATGTCTATATAAGGGTCTTTTCAATAACCTAAATAGCTTAAGATATTAAGAAATAAAATATAGTTAAGCATGAGAAACAAACTGAATGCTCTCTCACCACAAGATTTTTCTTTTTCACTATTTCCAAAACAGATTAAAATGTTAACCCAAGTACCCATTTTACTCATCCTTTAAACAAATTTGCTCAATGAAGGCAATATTATAAAAAATGTGAGAAATAATGCATAGGATCAGATACAAAATGATAATAAATTTGATTCTTTCACTGAAAAAAAAATGGAAAAAAATAAACCCAGAAGATTCAGCACAGTGATCCAAGCAATCAAGCAACATATTTTAGGTACACTGTATTTTACTGGCTGTGGCACTCTGGGGGAAGAGGAAGAGTCTGTATTTTTAGAAATGTCTATTTTATAGTCATTTATAATTTGAACTCTCATTTTTTCCCATATTCTCTCTAGATCATGTTAGAATTCAATTTAAAAATAATTTTACTCCCCACATAGTTTTTGAGATAAATTAAGAAATAACAAGAATAACACACAATAAAAGATGACCTATTAAAACTGATAGAACAGCTTGTGGCTTTTTCTTTGAAATAAAGAGAAAAAGGCATACAACAGGTTCCAGTTTATTTTCCTGAGACAAAGCAGCATCAAGCACTGTCTATATTTCCTCAGGAAAACCCTAAATATTGAATGGCTGATGCTCCTCAGAAATTGAAAATAAAAAAATAAAAATCTGCAGGAAAAAGACTGCCAAATTGGCAATGATGATTTTCCCATCTTTGAAAAGCATCAACTCAGAAGTTATTTTATCTTCCATCTGGTCTTTCTTTCATTGCCAATGGAAATCTATTGCAACATACTTAAGAATTGGAATTTTTTGACCTTTCTAATTTTCATTTGCTATCTTTCAAAACAAAACTGGCAAGAGTCATTTGGGGCAGAAGTTTAAACAACACTAAGAAGGATCTTCTCACAATGGTAGGTACTTGGAAATAGAAATTAAAGAATTTTCCCTTCATGAATTTTTTCTCAGACTTTTAAATATGGTATTTTAATGGAATTTTTTTACAGAATATTCATTTTCAGCACCAAAAGAATAAGTGCCTTATGCGACATCTTTAGTCCTAAAGTATATTAAATTTTCAAAAGTTCCTATATGTTAGATTAAGCATTCATATGGGACACTTGAAAACAGTTTTCCATTCAAATACACAATCCACTTTTCTCCACTATATCTTAAAGTTCTTTAAACTTCATAATGATATGATATTACTAGATACACTCTAAAAGAGAGAATTGTTTTAAAGCATGTATTTATGATTATTTTCACTTTTGCTTTTTAAACTTATATTTTATTATTATAAAAACATTTCTTAGGAATCAATGCTTAAAGAAATAGCCATCTTAAATATATTAAATTAAATATACAGTGATATTTTGTCCCTAAGATCCTTTTAATATTTGCATTGTCCAGCCAACACACTTGATTAATGGGCAAAGTTGATTGTCAGAGTTGACAAATCTGCACAATGATGCACAGGGTTGCTTTCCCAGAACTCAGGCTATCAGATACTTGAAATACAAATTTTTAGTCAATTGAAAGTAAAAATAACTGGACAACTCTATTTTCTCAGCTGACTTCAGACCACTCACTGTAGAATAAAATAATTTAGTAGAATATTGTTAAAACTATGATACATATTATGTGACTCTTATTATTCTTTGGCTAAACCTAACATAGTGTTGACGTTCCATATTTTTGAGGTGTGCTAAGAAATTAGGTTTATTATATATAAACCATTTTAAAGTTCATATCTCAAACACAAGTGTACAGAAATCTATAAAGTAATGAAACTTCTATTTTTTAAAAGTTCTAAAAATGTAAACAAGTATCCATAACAAAATTGTTACTTCTAACGCCAAAGACTTTACCTCTAAAAGTTTTTATTGTTCAGAACACTTTATGAACAACTCTGACATTATCTCCAGTGTCAGTTTACAAGTCAAAATTAAAAACTACTCCAATGTTTTATAGTCAAATTTAAAAATACTACCAATATTGTTCCACATTAATACTGAATCCAAAATAATATTAGGCAAATTTTTTAAAATCTACTATTATAAGAGGCCTGCACTACATTATATATCATGTGTTGAGACATGTTCCAAATAGTACTTTTTAATTTAAAAAAAAAAGGTACAGCTAATCAGCCATTTTGCCTATTTTTAGGGGCCACCATAAGGATGAAACTATTGTGTTTGATCTTGGGACTTTGAGCTCTTACAGAATGTCACTAGGTAAGTATTGTTAATCATTATCCCATATCTTCATACTTTTCTAAGTAACTAGTACTTAAGATTTCTTTTTACATTAATTATACATCTTTCCTTGTATATTAGCTATCAATCATTGATATAAAAAGACAGTTCTGGTGTTTTAAATTTAAAATCTAACTTAATTTAATAGCCACACATGGCTGATGGATATCATATAGTACTGCTTAGATCTATAACATCAGACTTCATTATACAGATATGCATAAGTAAGTGTAGGTCCCCATGCTCTAGCAATTGTACAAGTAGATAGAGCTCTATAAAATGTAACAGCTAAAACAAAATAGGTGGTTCATGAATTAGCTATGTTTTCATTTACTTTATCTATTACAAATGTAGTATTTCTGACCACAACCAAGACCAAATAAGAGTATAAAATAAAAGGACTAGGGAAGTGCATTTGTCCAAGGATCAAAGACAGTCTCTTCCTGCTGAATCTTGAGACTCTACTAACATCTATATTAACCTATCATTTATAAAACACTAAGAAAGTACCCTTTGAAACACTAAATATCACACAAAATTGCAAGAGATTTAAAAAATGAGCATTTTTAAAGAGTGGAATTCTATTCAAAATACAGATAGATTAATGCCAGTGTTAAGAAGAAGCGCTTAATTCCAGAGTAATTTCTACAAAAAACCTATAAAATCTATTATATCAAATGGGAAAAGATAACTTTTTTCTTCAGAAGACTACTGCTTTCACAAAGAAGACTACATAAAATTACATCACTACAAAATATGAAATAATGCCTCTTAAAAGTGCTTTTGGAAACTTAAAAAGCAAGCCATTCAAATATGACTGGGGTAATCTAACTTTGGCCATTTTACTGAGTGCATTATAGATGTGATATAATTTTCTGTATAAAACATATTACTGACCTGGTCTTAAAGATGATTTTCAATAATTTCATGTCCTCAGAATACAAAAGGAAAATAATTTCTATTTTAAAGTAGCAGTTTGGGATTATCTAAACAACTTTTTTACAAAATAAAGTTGGAAAAAAGAGCTTTCCAAAAATATAAGCAGTTGAACATAAACAGTACAAAAAGAAATAAGACTAGTTACCTGATTCATGATGATTAATAATTAATGATTGTAATTAAAATAGAATGTTCTTTACATATGGGCAAGGTAAGTAATAATACTCAGTCTGTCATCTCTTGAGTGTTTTCTGTTATAGTTTGTTCTCCAAATGCATTACATACATTATCTCATTTAATCCTGAAGTCAAGTCTGACAAAGTCTGACTACTATTACCACATTACAATGTATGTTTAATTTCAAAGTATCCATGTTTTAGCTCTGTTGTTCCTAAGCCAACAAATGTAGAAGATAGCTCTAATTAGAGCCTTTCAAGAACATAGTTTTTCTTCCTAAAAAAGGAATTCATTACTTTGTTCAGTTGTGAAAAAAAGAATTAATCACTGTGATTGGATTAAAACATTAGGAAAATAATAAATATTTTCTGTAAAGACTTTTCATTGAATAATATTCAGATCAATACTGAGAAATCTGTAGGAGGCAAAGTTACTTTCAGTTAATTCTCCACAATGAAAATTATGTGAAATATTTCCCATACTAAGAATTTTTTTCTTAATATTTAAAAATAAAGTCCTGAAATTTCATACATCATAACTAACCTTTGGAATGGTGGCCCTTGGGTCAAATGCCTTCCATAGCCAATGAACTGTCACTAGATGGAGAAGAAAAATATGAGTCCTAGTGACAGAGAAGAATCTCAGCATTTTGTCTATCTCATTGGGAATACCAAGAAAACAGTTATATTACATGTTGATGGCAGGAGCCAGGTTGAAGGGAGAGTGGAATGTGATAAGCCAAGTTGGTAAATTTAGACTACCCTTTCATAGTGCCTTCCTGTGAAGGAAAGAATTGAGAAGAGAGTGATTAAAATAGGATGAGGATGGTTGAAAGTGAACTTTTTAAAAGTAGGAAAATCAACAAAAAACAGCATGGTATTGGCCCCAAAACAGACTGGTAGACCAATGGTACAGAATAGAGTTCACAGAGACTAACCCACAAAATTACAATTATCTTATATTACACAAAGGTGCCAAAAACATGCACTGGAAAAAAGATAGCATCTTCAACAAATGATGCTGAGGAAACTGGAAATCCACATGCAACAAAATGAAATTAAACCCCTATCTCTCACCATGCACAAAACTTAACTCAAAGTGGATCAAGGACCTACAAATTAAACCAGAGACTTTTCGCCCAATAGAAGAAAAATTAGGCCCTAATCTCCATCATGTGGGATTAGGCCCCAACTTCCTTAATAAGACTCCTATAGCATAAGAATTAAAACCAAGAATCAACAAATGATGGAGTCAAACTAAAAAGTTTCTTCTCAGCAAAAGAAACAATCTATGAGGTGAACAGAGAGCCCATATCCTGGGAGCAAATTTTTACCCCTCACATATTAGATAGATAGATAGATAGATAGATAGATAGATAGATAGATAGATAGATAGATATACAAAGATATGATAATCTCTAGGGTATATAAAGAACTCAAAAAGCTAAGCACCAAAATAAACCAAATAACTAGTCAACAAATGGGCCAAGAACCTGAATAGACACTTCTCAGAAGAGGATATACAATCAATCAACAAATACATGAAAAAAAATGCTCATCACCTCGAGCAATCAGAGAAACGCAAATCAAAACTACTCTAAGATATCATTTCACTCCAGTCAGAATGGCAGCTATTATGAAGACAAACAACAATAAGTGTTGGCAAGGATGTGGGGAAAAAGGTACACTCATACATTGCTGGTGGGACTGAAAATTGGTGCAGCCAATATGGAAAGCAGTATAGAGATTCCTTGGAAATCTGGGAATAGAACCAACCACCATTTGACCCAGTTATCGCTCTCCTTGGACTATACCCAAAGGACTTAAAAACAGCACACTACAGAGACACAGCCACATCAATGTTTACAGCAGCACAATTCACAATAGCTAAACTCTGGAACCAACCTAGATGCCTTTCAGTAGATAAATGGATTAAAAAAAAGTGGCACATATACACAATGGAATTTTACTCAGCAATAGAAGAGAATAAAATCATGGCATTTGCAGGTAAATGGATGACATTGAAGAAGATAATGCTAAGTGAAGTTAGTCAATTTCAAAAAAAACAAATGCCGAATGTTTTCTCTGATATGCGGAGGCTGACTCATAGTGGGGTAGGGAGGGGGAGCATGGAAGGACTAGATGAATTTTCAAGATAGGGAAGAGGGATGGGAGGGAAAGGGAGGGGGCAGGGGATTAGCAAGGGCAGTGGAATGTGAACATCATTATCCAAAGTACATGTATGAAGACTCGAATTGGGTGTCAACGTACTTCATGTATAAACAAAGATATGAAAAATTATGGTATATATGTATAGTAAGTATTGTAATGCAAAAAAAAGTACATGTATAAGGCATGAATTGGCGTGAACATACTCTATATACAAAGATATGAAAAACTGTACTCTATATATGTAATAAGAATTGTAATGCATTCCGCTGTCATATATTTAAAAAATAAAATCAATAAACTAAAATAAATAAATTAATTAATTAAATTAAAATAATAAAAATAAAAGTAGGAAAATTGGCAGTTCTTTTTTTACAAATCTCTGTGTCGTTTAGGTAAGAGAGAAGCAAAAACAGGATCAGGAGATAAATCAAAAGGTCTTTACAATAATACAAGTAAAAACAATTTAGGGTATAAGCAACTGAGATGATGAAAAAGCTAAATTAGAATTCAGGGGATAAGGTAAGATTCAGGGGGATAAAATGTGATTGAACATAAGTGACAGTTGTGCATGGCTATTTAAGAGAGGCAGTTCATTTCTAATAGCTTGCAATGTCTTGGTGAAATAGGAGGAAAGCCATTTGGTGGGTATGGAATGTGTCAAAATTAGATAAAGAACTTTGATAAAATTGGGATCAACTTAGAAAATTACAGACCTCCGGGAAAGGATTACACCCAAAAGGATTACAGAGCAGTGTTGAAGGATAGTAAATTTGTAATGGTGTAGTGCTTATGACATCTTCTACACCGTTCAATAATTTGGAAATAGGGCCTGAATAAATGCATGGTTTCGATTAATTCTAAAGCTTGGGATTAGCAAGAATTATGTATCAGATGAACAAATAAATGAAGAAATTGAAGAAACAGTGAGTGAATGTAGTTGGGTGTCCTGTACGAATAATCTGCTCCAAGGAACCTAGACTTATTAGAACAGTAATGTAGGACTTATTCTTTCTTATCCTGTTATTATTTCATACTTTCCTTCTATTTGGCATGCCCCTCCTTGTTTAATATTTTTTAAGCCTTGTTTCAAATGCTACCCTCTCAGTGAGACACTAAAAGTAATCATTGTAAATTCTTAAAGTGTTTCTTTTACTACGTTTCTGCCATTTTTATTTCTAAAAATTACTCTTTATGAAAACCACTGTATTGTTAACAACAAATAGTAGCATACAATATTTATTGAGCACTGTCATAAGCATTATAAATAATTTTTCACAAAAAATCTGTTAATGACTCCAAGAGGTAGGGATTTTTATGAACTTCATTTTCCAGGTAAGGAAAGAGAGCCTCAAAAATGATTATATATGCACACCACCTCTATGTGGCAAAGGCAGAACTAAAATCCTGGTATTTAAATTCCAGAGACACATTCTTCTCCATTTGGACTGTGTTTGTATTATCTTGTTTTGTGACAACTTGGTCTTTAACTTACATAACACACAGCTCCTACATTAACATATTGCCCAAAGTAGATGCTCAATAATGTATTTTATAATTTTTGTATGTGTGTGTTTAAAGACTGGAACAACCCTGAGCTCTTGAATGAAACATGAAAACACATTGCCCCATCCTGTAAGGGCATTTAGTTCCATTTGTAGTTGACTTTTTTGATAGCCACTAAGACAAACACAG